CTAACAGGAAAAGTAACTTTCGTTATCATGGAATTATAACAAAACCTGCCAATTCAATATAAATGGAAAAAAAATATTATATGGAATTGAACGAAAATGAAAATTTGCTTGATAATTCAACTACGCTTGTTGGAGAACAATAAAAACACTACACTCAACAAGCCACCAATAAAACTCAACTGCCTAACCTATAACCAAAGTCTCCTTTTAATTTGTTTTTAAAAAAAAGCGCTTGACAAACTTGCCCCGTATGCCGAAGTTTCCCTGGTCTTTCCTATTCATTCCTTATTTTCATTAAACAGAAATGAAGTAAAAGATGATATTTTCAAGGATATTAATATTTAAATTTATTGTATAATAGATAGATACGTGTATCCTGGAATTGTTTATACTTTAACAAGATATATTTTGTTAAGAAAATGTAAGGTGGATATAAGTTTAGAAGAGGAAGAGAAAAATTTACTGAACTAAAGGATGATGATTGTATGCTTATACCTGATTTAGTTTTCCTTCTGGATGCTGACTTAGATATAATTAAAAAACAGAAAGGATTTCGCTGCTGATATATTCGAGAGACAAGAATTCGAAAGGACTGTAAAAAAAAATATAAAATGTTTTTAAATTTTAATGAACTAAAGGATGATGATTGTATGATTATACCTAATTTAGTTCTCCTTTTAGATGCTGACTTAGATATAATTAAAAAACAGAAAGGATTTCGCTGCTGATATATTCGAGAGACAAGAATTCCAAAGGACTGTAAAAGAAAAATATAAAATGTTTTTAAATTTTAATATAATAAGAAATGACGATATAAAAATAATAAAAGAAAAGGTATTAAAAACTTTTCTTTCATTTAAATGGATATGATAAATAGTAGAAGAACTTTTAGATTTGAAAAAATAGATATTACTGAAGAAGAAAAACAAGAAGAGTCTTTAATAATTTTTTTATATAAAAAAGTAAATGAACTAGATGAAATAATATTTGAATGTGAAAAGATGTATAGAAAAATAAGAGAAAAAATAGATATATGCAAAGAAAATAAATGAAAAAATATAAATAAAAATAAAAACATTATAAAATGTCTTCCTCCCATAGTAAGTGTTTTCGAACACATAATAATAATAAAGACGAGGAGGCTAGGAACAATAAGAATATTAATATCTTATTGTCTGAATTGATTTTATAAGAAAGATTGGAAAAGATGATATACCATATATAATAAAAGTACTTGGAAAAATTAATAAAAGAGAATATATGAAATTTGATTAAAATAATATATTAATAAGTTTTAATAATCTTAAAATGTTTTTAATATCTAACAATATTAGAATTGAAAATAATAAAGATAATGGATTATATATAGGTAAAAAAATATCTTTTAAAAATTGATGAATGTGATTCAAAAAAAATAAATAAATATTAAATTAAAAAAGAATGTATGTATTGATGTAAAAAATAATGTACAATATTTTGAAGTAGATAATAATATTCATTTTTAATAAACGTGATATATTAATAGAAAAATATTTCTTAAATGATTAATAAATACACCAAAGAAAATTTATTTAAGCAAAGAATTTATATGTGATATTTAAACCTGATAGTCATTTTTCTGTTATAATATCTGAAATTTTTAATTATGAAAATAAACCAAGATGAGAAAAAGTATAAATAGAGTATTTTCCTTTCAAAGTGAAGAACTAATGAATTTCTTTCTACTTCATATTTATATATAAACATTTCAAATGAAAATGATAAAAACGACATTTTAAAACTATGTGAAGAAAAACAACCTTTTTTTATATTTTTCAAATTATATTACAAAATATATTGTTGGATATTTTATTAATATCAAAATAATGAAATATTTATTTAAAGATTTGTATGATTTTATTATTCAAAATGAAATAGAAAAAATGACAGAAGTTTTAAATGTTATTAATTATTCCTGTAGAAAATTGAATAGTTCTAATTTAAAAAATTATAGAAATTTAATTTTAATTTCTATTAAAATTAATTGAAAATAATTGAATTAAAATTGAATTTAATTTTAAAGATATTTTAATTCATAAAAAAAAATCAGAAAATATAAATTGAAATAAAATTGGCAAACCGCGACTCACATGACAGAAAAACACTGATTCTGATTGGTATTATTCGGCTATTGTTGTTTTACAGATACATACGCATAGATATTTGATTATTACGTACCGCATCGAAAATTTCAGATCAAGAGAAATATTGACCATGTGTCTGTTAAGTTTATTTCAAATTCTTTTAAGTTTAATTATTATTTCTCTTCTTGCCATATATTCACTTGGAATAAACAGAAGGAAACAACAGGAAAATGATTCGACTTCGAAGAAATATGGAGAGAATTCGTTTTTATCTGGAAGTAAGCCAATAATTAAATACCTTTTTGTTTATTTAATTTTTAAACTATAATTAATTTAGACCGTCAGCAGTGGCCATTCTTTTCAACCGAAAAAGTTTGAAATTTGGCGATTTTATTTTGGTCAAGATGATCTAAATACCTCATTAAGATATGTTAGTATAATTTCTGATATTGGTACATTAAGTCCCATTTTGCGTAATAAACATGATGTATAATAAATGAATAAAAAAATATATAATTTTTTATATGAATTCCCAATTTAACTTATTGCGAATTCCAAAATAAATGTGTGGGATAAATCGTTTCGCTGACTGATGAGATCCCAGACAAAATAATTTTTTAATGACAAATATTATGTTTTTCTAATGGTGAAAACCAGAAAGTGTCCAAGTCAAAGAATGGCTGATTATTGCATACAAAAAAATTTAAAAAATTTTTAAATTATACGGAAGAGATTCTATTATGGAACCCTGTAGGTTTATGGAACCTTCCCATTTCAAACTAATAATAAAGGCGAAATGTAGCGATTTTTATATTTTATTTTATATTTTAATTTTATAGATATATTGTATTTTAAATTTTAAAATAAAATATATTTGAACTAAGTTGATTATGTTTCGATTATTTTCTAAACATATTTTGTTCTCATTTGCTTTGTGTGTGAGGAGGGTAAAATATTTACAGAAATTATTGCATTGTTTGAAAATAAAATTGGAACTTATCACGAGGAAAGTTAGAATACTAAATTTCACTTCTACGAAAATAAAGGTGAAATGAAGGTGTTCAATTCAATCGGTCATTTGTTTGTAAATTAGCCAAAACAATCAAGATAAAATAAAAAAGTGAATATAATTAACGTGCAATTAATTCCTTATCAGTTTCTTATTTTTCCTTGATTTCTATTAATGGCCTTTTCTTTATTTATTGCCAATTGTCATTTAAAATTCTACTTTATTTAATACGAACAATCAATCAACAGTAAAGGGAATTTCCATTTACTGATAATTATTTTTCTAAATTGTTTTTTAGGAAATGAATTTATCTAACGGTTCCCAAAGTAATCTGATTAAATTCTAAACTGTATTTTTTATTATTTGCAATAAATTTATTAAAAATATACGAAATAAATTTAATTAAAATATGCAGAAAAGACAATTCCATATTTTAATTTTAATTACGTATTTTTATGTCTGTAAAAATGATGTCAACACGTGGAAAAGTAATTTGGTTATCGAAAAATATTAATTGCATTTGTCTGTACTTAAACGACGTTTAAGTACAGACTATAATATATAGGCTATATATATATTATTTGTTTACTTATTTGTGTCTGTTGTTTGTATGTATATATATGCAGTATATTTACTACTTGTTCATTGTATAAAGATATATATAGATATCTGGATATATATAAATTTAATTTTCGACATTCCTTTCTTTTTGTGGGCACTAAATTAAAATATGTTTGATACATATTGTGGGTTTTTCCGGGATTTCATTGAAGAATATCGTCCCCGAGAAATGTTTACCTGGAATGGAACACGTGCTCTCGAGGGATGAGTACTGTCAATTGAATAAGGCAACGCGATATTTGGACAATATGACAAGAAAATATTTTCCGAAAGTAATTTTATAGAAAAATGACACGTAATTGCACATTTGATACGCGATACAAAAAACTTCACGTGGATAGAATGTTGGTGAGATGCACAAACCTCCAATCTTCGTATGCCTGAGTTCAATTGCTTCACCCCCAGGGCCGTTTTCCCGATTTTACTTGCATTTCACATTACTACACGGGCTGATGTAAATCTTATTATTTGGATGTATTTTATGACGTTATTATTTCATCATTTATCGATCTTACATACTTGACCTTAAACGTCCTTATATTTGTTTCACTGTAACGAGAACAATTATAATTATCATAAAGCCAAAGGAATTTTGTTCAGTTCATTTCGTTGATACCTTTGCGGCCTGATTGCACCCAGTGCCTGCTAAGAGGAATGAATAGCTTGATTCTCATAACATTTAAATGTTCACTCGACAATAAATAACATTTATTCTTATAAATTTCCTTATTTCACACGTGTTTTACCAGATATTTGTCAGGAGAATTATAAATGAACCAATCATTATACATAAACATTGGTATAGAATTTCGGTATAAAAGCTTTCCTGTAAAATTTGATTTTACACGAAAGTTTCATCTTGACTGGAGCTGTGGAGTCGTGTAAAAATCTACAGACTCCGACTCCGACCGGGGACGGAATTGTTACTGTCCTTACCCTTAATAACTCAACCATAACATAAATTAAAATAATATTTAATTATTATATAACTACAATCAAAATGTACTCAAATTACGAAGACGTTTTAAATGAAAATGTAAAAACATAAATTAAATTTTCCAAGCTCGAGAAAAGAAATGGGAGAAGTTAAGTCTCGTAGTGCGAAGTTAGTCTTCTATAATAGGAAGACTGTGATCACGTGGCAAAAACTCTGATTCTGATTGGCATTATTCGGCGCTTGTTGTTTTATGCATAGATATTTGATTATTACGTACAGTAACGCATTTAAAACTGCAGATCAAGAAAAATGTTGACCATGTGTCTGCTGAGTTCGTTCCAAATTGTGTTAAGTTTAATCATTATTTCTCTTTTTGTGATATATTCAATAGGAAAAAAATGGAGAAACGGAAGAAAACAACAGGAAAATGATTCGACATCGAACAAACATAGAGAGAATTCATCTATATCTGGAGGTAAGCCAATAATTGAATATTTTTCGTTATTTTAATTTTTAAAATATCATTAATTTAACACGAAAGAAGTGACTCGACGGCGCTACAGAGCTTTATAGTAGAGCTCAGCCACACGTTTAATGTTAAAGGGCTAAATTTGATGATTAATATCTCCAAGACCATCCAACCGATTTGGATGAAATTTAAAATATTTAGTGTCCGCGATGAGCGATACGGAAGTCTTAAACTTTGAATAAATTCTTTGGATCGTTCTGAAATTCCAAATACTGAACTGCAGTTTCGACTTGATTTTCAACGAGAGGGATTTTCGCGACACCAACCAAGCTTTCTGAAAATCCAGAAAACGTCTGCGTATTCTTAAGAATTCTTTCGACAGCCGACCCAGTAGCGTTGCGTAATGGGGTCGGCCCGCCCCGGGCGGCCCTTTTTAAAGGGCGGAAAATTTTTACAATAAATAAATAATAATATCTTGTGAAAATTTGAACCATTTTATTTAATATTTTCGTCCACCTACGACTCGAACCGGTTGAAATGAGCACGGAATATTTGCGAGTCGATTCCCGGGACTATCCATCCGGATAGTCCGGGAATCGACTCGCCGTCCGGGGATATCGTGTGCAACCTGTTGATTTTTCTGTTTTTTTTTTTGCTTGTACAATTTATTCGTATATATATATACCTCTTGCGTTACTCTTATCCAAGTTTCCCTAGTCGCTAACTGTAATTGATTTAAGATGACATACGCATGCGTCAGGAACTTCTATTCGAACAAATCTCACTTGCCGTCCAGGTCAGAGATTTTAATAAGGTGGCAACACTAGCACGTAATTTTTCATTACTTATTCTGTGACGAAACTGAATTTTAGTCTTTTAAATTGAGATCCCTAAATGTGAGATCTGACCTCAGAATTAGCCCAAAATTGTTCATTTTCCCGCTAAATTTTCGACGCATTTAAAATAAATTTGTCGCCTCCTCGTTAAAATAACATTGTCAGAAAAAAGAATCAAATATCGATCGAAACTTATAACTTTCATCGTCAATGTAAACATTCAACCCTCGAACAATGACATTCTTCTGCTGCAAGACAAAAAGTTTATAGTTAAAGTCCGAATTCGTAATTTTGTTTTGGGTCCCGGGAACAACTTTAACCTCCACACCTGCAGGACCAACTCTACCTCTCATTAAAGGTGATCACATGATTGATTTTCCCAGTCCGAAGCTATAAAAGCGACTTATTTCCCCTCCTCGGGGGAGTCTCACATCTACGGTCTAAAAGGATTAAGTCTCCGGGAAACTTTAACTTTGTGCGTCGAACTTTGTGCCTACGTTGAAATCGACTAGAGGTATAAAACAAATAATTGTAAACTCTCTCTCCGCGAGTTAGGAGCTAGTGAACTAAATTCACTTCCCCTGATATTAGATTTTGTAACCTATATTTTTGTTATTTCGTTAATCTAATCGTTGTTTCCATTGTTAAATGGTGTCATTTACTCGCATATCGCCTACGCCTCGTCGACGACCCCTCTCACCTCCTCCACTCGACCTGACAACAAAAATCCCGACCCTTCGGGACTGCATTCGAAATTTAGCCATCTTGACACGTGAGTAGATTTAACGACCTGTTGCCGAAAAGGGAGAGTCGACGGTTTCCGACCTCCCCGGCGGCTCACATAAATAATGGGGGCGAAATTTTCCTCCGCCCCAGGCGGCTGACACCCACGCTACGCTACTGAGCCGACCAACTCTTTTGTGGTTCCTTTGAAGGTTTTATGTCAAAATATCGAGTATTTATAAAATTATAAGCTCAATTTTTAAATATTAGCATTTTGTTGGTCGATTTTATACCACGTGACGTGACGCTTTGCGATTACATTGTATTATTCATGATTTAAATACAGAATATTTATAAAAGAATGTCCGATTTTACTTTTGAAGTACTCATGCACGTATACATAAAAAATGTATCGGAATCGCGTCAAATTTCGTCTTCGCAGATTTTTGCGAATCTCCACATTCTGAGAATGTTTTTCTACTGCTGTATATAAAATGTTCGTGCATCTCTGTTGTTAGCTTTTTATTAAATTATATTAGAGGAAAAGCTGGTATTATGGAACTCTGCAGGTGTTATGGAACCGATCCGTTTCAAACTGATAATAAATTAACTGAACTGTAGCGGATTCTGGCTGAACTGCACTAGGCAGACATCCATAGCGAGGGGAAAACTCGTTTCACTTCAGTTAAACGGTTGTCCGTAGTGAATCAGCATATTTGTGCATTTCGAAATCCGAATGTTTTGGATGCTACGTGAATGTAATTATTTCTAATATATAAATCGTGTAGTTGTAGGTTCGCTGGTGCATGTATTCCGTTCCAGAGACTTAGGGGTACAGTACATATTAACACCATATTAATATAATTAAACGTAAAAAATATTTAAAACTGAAAAAATAAACGAAAGAAATGCGTTAATTTTAAGAAAAAGCTTCAAATTTTATTTTCCTTTGTCTCGCCTTTCTGTGAAATCTGACGCTGATGAGTCATTGTTTACACAGCTGGATGACTTTGAACACAGCTGGAGTTGGATTTTCCGGGACATTCTCATAGAAGTCTCGGGAGGCGATCGGTTTATAGTAGGGTGAATACTAGCTGGCCGTATATTTTTATAAACTAATTGAAACTATTAAAAAGCAATTAAGCATGAAGCATGCGTCATTAAAGGTAAATTAAAATCGCGATAAAATTTTTTCACGCGGGAAAAATTTTGAAAAAATTTGGAGACTTAAAAAACATTCCAAAAACTTAGAAAAAAAATTCAAAAATGGCCTTAAGGACCGTTAATTTGTGTGATGTTCACGTTTTTTGAAGTTTGATCTTGACAAACATAAGTTCATTCGAGATGGCGATGCATTGGTGCTTTTAACATGGAACCCAAATTCTTTGAACTCTCTCTTTGCAAGCAGACATTTGTCCGGAGCAATTTGTGCAAAAGACACTAGATAGAAGCCAATTCTTCCCGAGAATATCGAAAAAAAGCTTCTGGAATATATATTGTTGATGGAGGTTATGTTTTTCTATTATAAAAGCATTTTTTCGATAAAATACATTGGAATAAATAATTTTGTAATTATTTAATATTCTTTGTACTATCCTCTTTGTTTTTGGATACATTAAAGCATTATTTGAAAACATACAGTGAGGTTCCATATTACCACTCGGTTTTCCCTAAGCCAACTTTCTGACGTTTTGTACCGAAGCCTTCAAAAACCATACTTATAATTACACTAGCGAAAAATCTAATTAGGATCATTTAGATCAGGGGTGGCCAACCTTTTTAGCAGGCGGGCCAAATTTCAGAAATAATATTTCCTGCCGGGCCACGCACCTAATTTTTTTTTTTGTTAAAAGTAAACAAGCAAGCGTGCTACAGCTTCAACCACATCGTTGCTTTCCAGTAGGTGAGATCGTGGTCAAACACTTGCCTGGTTTAATGTAAATAAACACAAAAAAAAAATAGGTATATTTTTTTGAAGAAAATTAAACATAATTGAGAATCACTTATTCAATAACCAAGAAACATATTTATTAGACAATTAAAAAATATTTAAAAATGAGACATCTGACTTTGTTTTACAGAACTAAGTGCATCAAAATTGATCTCGACTAATGTTGTCGCTACACGCAAACAGTTTTCCAAATGAACATCAGTAATTCGTGTTCTCACTTGTGATTTGATGTACTTCATGCGACTAAAAAGTTGTTCACACGCATAAGTGTTTCTAAATAGCGAAACCATCGACAGAGCATGTTTGTAAAACGCAGGATATTTATCCTTGTCCAAATACATTTCATAGAATTCTTCCAAACCTTCTTAACTCTTCTAATGTTCATTTGGTGATATGTACAATAAAGTTAACATTTACGTTCATTTGACCAAGCTCCGCGGGCCGCAACACGACTCCAGGCGGGCCGCATGCGGCCCGCGGGCCTCATGTTGGCCACCCTTGATTTAGATGAATAGTTACCAGTACTTTTCGCACAAAAAATGTGGGTGTAGTTACGATAACTTATTTACAATTCACTATAATGTCGGTCCATAATACCACCTTCGCTACTGCTTATGCAAAGTGACAAGTCGATTAAATTTAGGGCATCCTTTATGATGTAAAACGGGTTCGCAAACCGTTGCTACACTTGAAAGTGCTTTTAGTTTACTGAATTATCCACAATACGAGCAAACAGAAGTTAGCAATAAAAATATTTTTTACAACTTAAAATATAACCAATAATTATTTTAAAATATACATTTTGCATATTCTAATATTGTTAACGAAACTTATTTGTACGATTGCAATACAATATATTTATTGCTTGTATGAATAAATCGAATATAACAAAATGAAAACAAAATACTTTTATGATATACTATTGGTATACATAGTTATTGAGATGAGATTCGAAATAACTGTAAGCCTAAAACTTTCTATTATCGATTGACTTCCATAATTTCAAAAACGTGGTGAAATATACGACGAACGAAACAAGCCGTGGACATCTGCACGTGCGGCCCTGAATAACTATAAAAGAATTTTCGGTGAAAATCGGAAGTCGTATTATTCCAATTCAAATATTTCCCCCTGAAAGGTATTAGGGAAACGACCGGCACGACTCTGTTGTTAAAGGAAAAGTATGATGAACTGTACAGAGGTAAACAAACACTAATTTGAGTCGAGGTCATATATTTTACATAAAATAAATGAAAAATATGATAAAATATAACTGTTCGCCATTCTGGCGATGCTCGTTATCAACTTTTTTTTTAACAGACATTAATTTTTCAGAAAATAAAGACAACGGCCAGGAGATAAAAATGAATCTTCCGACTATGTCTTTTTTACCAGTTTTGTGGAACATTGTATTTTCTGAACGTGACAAACAATACCACGATTCACACATCGACATATGTATGTCATTAATATTTTATTGAGTAATTTCACTGTTTAGGAATACATAAATATTTTTTCGTAACTTTACAGTTATTAGAAATCTCTCTACCGGACTTCCTATGCTATTTACAAACGAGAAAGTCGTCTGTATAAACATATTTGGATATAAATTGATTGTTTTCTTACATCCAGAATCTGCAAAGGTAATAAAACATGCCTAGTTATGTAATATATTCATTACGAATGGAAATAATCAGTATTACGTTTAATAGGAAATTTTACGAAGCAACAGTTTAACACAGGATTTTACACTTGATTTCTTTAAGCCACTTTTGGGAGATAGCAATTTTCTTTTCAGGTAATGCATTATTTGATAATTAGTTTAAAAATCGTTGTTTACAGTTTTCTGAATTTAATTAAATAAAGTTCTGGCGATGATCGGAGAAAAAGAAGAAAATATTTAGCTCCACATTTTCATCTTCGGAATCTGAAAGATGATCAAAATGTATTTATGGAGCATTCAAACGTCTTAGTGGAGAAACTCAAACAATTGCAGAAGAATGAAATATTCGATATCCTGGAATGGATGAAATATTGCACACTCGACATAATTGCAGGTATTACTCTCTAATGTAAAATATTTTATTATGTATTATAAATATCAATTTGTTCATACGAAAACATAAAATAAAATATTTATGTTGCCCACATATTACTCATCACGTAAAGAAAGCATTAAATGAATTTAAAAATATATATATATATATACATATATATATATATGTCACTGCAAGAACAGTAAGCTACTGAACTTTCTTTAAAGAAACCAACAATGGACAGGGGCAGGATTTCAAACAGTTTTTTTTTTACCACTTACAGGTTTCACGGTGATTACGGACTTATTCATGTAAAATTCTAACACAGAGGACGACTTTCCTTCTTGTGAAACTGCCATTTTTTTAAAACTATCCATTTTTTTTAAAACTATCCGTGTCTAGCAACAGAAATTATAACTAAATCTGATTATAATCAATTTTGTATGGCCTAAATGATTATTTTTTTTGTTTCTTTTTTGTTTCTGAAACTTTTTTTTTCTGCGATTTCTTCCCGAAACTGAATATCATTTACAAACGACGTATGTTTATTTATTTAAAAAAATATAAATATCAATTTATTTCTATGTAGACATAGCAGTAGGAGTTTCTCTACATTCTCAGACTACGAAAGATCAAGAATATGTGTCCGCAATTCACAGGTATGGAAAATGTAATTCCAGATATATTTCTTCATTTTTCAAATAATATTTACAAACGTAATATTTCTATTAAATAATATAAAGTTAGTTTATATCTGATGAAATTTTTAAAATGTTTGCGTCAACTTTAATAGAAGAAACACGAAACATTCCAAATTTTGATTGTTTATCAATTAACCGAATATTATAAGTTTGTACATTATAAATGAAGTGTTTTAGCTATACGTGCTTATCATAATTAAAGATATGCAGAGAGAAGTATCGCGTTTCTAAACGAATACAATGCGTTCATTAATTAAGTATGTTAGAAAGATTCTCAAATTAATTTAATTACAGTAGAACCTCGAAAACTCGGCCTAATGTGGACCGAAGGGTGGCCGAGTTTGTGAAAACGCCGGGTTATCGGGAATGGGGTTAAAAAAAATAAGTACGAATGTTTCCCCAGAAAATACTGTACTGTACTTATATGTATTGTTTACTTGAGAATATAACAGAGAATAAACTGCCCAAATACCCTTAAACAAATCAAAAGTACGTCCTTTATGAAGGCATAGAGCCTTTACTACATGAAAATGAAAATTAATGAATACACTGTGTACAGTAATTTACCTGATAAGACAGACCTCAGAAAAATACTTTATGAGAGCTTTTATACTTTTATAAAGCTGTCTATAATGAAAATTAATTAACTAAGGATTTTTTTGCCCTGCCAGGGTGTGGCCGAGTTATCCGGAGTGCCGGGTTATCGAGAGCCGAGTTTTCGAGGTTCTACTGTATCAGTTATAACGTTTTAAACTTTATGTATAACACCTGACAGAAAATTTGTAACAGAAATGGCAAATGTGTGAAAGATGAACTTTCCACAAAGCATATCGTTGTCGCAATAAATAAGTAGTATTTATTTATTTTTGTGTTTTTTCTGTTACCTCAGTCTTTATGATAGCGAAAACTTACGTTTAAACATCTAATCAAAATATAAAAATACACAGTCCAAAAACTTATTTCTAATATTTCTCAAAAATAAATTTATTACGATGTTAAATTATTGCAAAGTTTTCTAGCACTTTTGAACACAAAAATAAGAAAACAACGTTTACAGAAAATCATTATTTAAAGTAAGTTTTAAAGATTTTAAATTATTTAAATTTAAAAAATTTCTATTATGTTTTTCATACGAAATATAATCATAAATTTTATGTAAATTTAATAGTTGATGGTCCTTTATTTTTACTTCTTAATTAAACTTTAAATTAGAATAAATTACCTTTTCATGTAATAATAATTTATATTAAATTTTAGAATTCTGTCATATTTTCCTGAATGGATAGCAAATCCAGTGTACCGGCTTTCCCCAATTTTTTTCATGAGTAGAATAGGAAAAAAATACAAGAGGGACGTTGAAATAATTCATTGTTTCGACGAAAAGGTAAACTGAACTTGTAAATGGACTTTTGTATTTTGATTTAAGTAATTAATAATTCAATTTAATGCGTAGGTGTTCAAGAGAAGAAAAGAAAATTTTGTGAAAAAAATGCAGCAGCAACATTCCTTAGACAAAGAGACCCGTCATGAAGAAGAACCAGAGATGAAAACAAAACAGCGTATAATCGATTCCTTGTTGGATCTTCATGTCAAACAAGGTTTAAGATCGGAAGAAGACGTTATCAGAGATATGGGAGGCACTATTTTCGCGGTAGGCATAATTTACTAAAAGTCTAATCGAGAGTAATCTTGCATTTTTTTTATAATATTATTTTTATTATTCTGAAGTAATATAATGTTTTTCTAAATAACGTATTGAAATATTAGTAATTTTACAAACAGTTAACCAGTGACAAAAATAATAATTAAAATATAACGTAAAACGTATTTCAATAGTAATCATAATTACTTTCTTGTAATTAAAAATTGTATTTAAGTTAAGATGTTCGTAGAATCATTAAATTTTATTCATAATTAATTATTATAGTAAATAATATTTGTAACTTCGAATTAATATATAGTTTTTTAACATGTAAAAATTTATAGTTTTGAATTTTGTCCTTTTATATTTTTATTATGTGAAATGTAATAGGAAGAAATTTTGGATATAAAACAAAAAGTTTTTAAATTAATGTATATCTTCTGTATTTATATACACGCTGGTAAGGTGTAATTTTGAAAAATTAAAAATATGTATTTATTGGTGATTTTTAAACATTATTATTATTATGATTATTATGTAATTAAAAAGGGCATATCGGTTGTTAAAAAATAGTCGTAGCTTACTTTTTCGACTTCATATCGAATTCGGTTTCTCTAATGATTATATAAAATAGTTGTTTGTAAATTTGTAACTCAGTTCCGTGGGTTATTATCTGTTTTCAAATTATATTTTTGAGTATTAGTTAATCAAATTCGTTTTATAAACACATTTGAAAGTATTCAAAGCAAGTAATGTCTGAGATGATGACCGAAATATTTTGTAATCCGAAATAATTCAAGTCCATAATAGCCAAATGACCGAAAACATCGTAATTATATGTGAGATCCGAATAGTTCCTGGGTCTAATTAACAATTTAAATATAAAGTTTAAAATAATGAAGTAAAATATTTTTTCATTTTGGTGTGAAAATAGCGGTTTTCTAACGTGGGAAAATTAATAAAAGAGCCACGTCCTTTAACGAAAGTTGAAGTATCCTTTGTTTTTCCACTTATCTAACACAAATCTCACCACCATGGGAATTGTCGACCCCTCAATAATTCCCCTTTCCTCCGTTCACGTGAGTGGCAATTTTGTACTATGCCGAAAGCTGTATTTTCTAGTACATTTGTCAAGGAGATCGTCTATGTATTACGTACCCTTATCCCACCAATCCAAACGCATCACTAAACAGTGTTGTCATATGTGAAAAATAACTTATCGGAGTGCTAGGAACAGTGAAAAATCAATCACACACCCAACATAACGATACCTTCAAACTAGTTTTTCTAGTGCTCTTGCCTTATTGATGTTTTGTGCGGAATTTTTATGCATTGCCTGACTTATTATACATCGTTGGAAATAGGAAGAGAGTCCGGTTCATATGACACGTTTTTTATGTAAATAGAATGATTAGGGGGGAGTTAGGGGGTTTTGAAATTTGACTTGTTTCAAGGGCTTTAGCTTGAGGGGGAATAACAATTGTGGGCAAAAATAGGTAGGGCTGTTAAGGCTGTTACTGTCTAATAGTGGTGTAATTTTGGTTTTAGTTGGTGCTTAATTAACAATTCTACAGCAATTTTAGTTTTTATGAATATTTATTCATTAAAAATTCAAAAATAACGGTCGTATCGTTTATTTTTAAGGGTAAATAACGGTCAACAACGGCTTTTTCTTAATTTTAACGTCGTTTTTATTTGTTTAAATAATTACTTCTGAATAATTATTCTTGAGATTATTTTTATTGATTATTTTTATTAGTTATTAATAAAACTCGGTAATAAGCTATTACTAGTTTTTATTGTAAGTTATTAGTTTTTATATTAGTATTAACTAGTTTATATTTTGTTTTTTTTATTGATTTAATATTACTGCTATTTATTAAAACAGTGTTATTGTATATCTTTATCTATTGCATCTATTGGCATTACTGGTAGGACTATTCATCATAAGGTTTTTGAGTAGATTATCCACTAGTTTAATTTTTAAATTTAGTTTTAATTAATTATTAGTTATTTTTGTGAGGACTATTGTGTACACTATTCATTGGTTGAGGATAGAATTATTAGTTCAATGCGAATCAAAATGGCAGAACAAATCATGGAGCCAAGAATAACCCTGGTGCCTCTGGAAAAGACAAATGCTACAAAGCCAATGAAGGAGATTGAAAAAGATGAGACAATAAAAAATAAATTAATCAGAAAGGCGATTGAGCTGCTGGGAAGAGTCAGGGATATCTGCCCAGGACACACAAATAGCAAACTCAAGGTAAATCACAGAGTTGAAATAAGAAAGCATGTAACAAAAATGTTTGGATTTTTAAATAAAATGCATGGAATAATAGAAGAAATTACAGCAAACACAGAAACAAATCAACCAGTGGTTAAAATTCCAACTTACAGCGAAATAACTCAAAGAAATATTAAACATAGCTTAACAACAAGAAATATACAACGATCAATAGATCAAAAGATAAACTTAGAAGGATCTGGGGATCCCACGCCGTTTTAATTTATCCCAAGGAACAAGAAGATGGCATACTAACTGACATGAAGAAGGTGACAGAACACATTAAAGCAAATATAGAGCCACATCGTCTAAGAATAAAAATTAAGACAGTCAAAGAAGTTAAGGATAAACGAATTTGTATCCGGGTAGGAAGTAGAGAAGAGAGTGAAAAATTAGAAAATGCTATTAAAGAAATTTCTACGTTGAAACACAAAATAACTTGCAAACATTCAGAAGGAAGAAAACCCAAAATCATACTCTTAAATGTGCCGCAATCAGTGTCAGATGAGAACATAGTGTCATATATATACGAACAAAACAACTTATGGTGAAATACGAAAATGGAAACTTTCAAAGAAGAATGTTATATTCGTACAATCATAACTAAAGGAAAGATTTCAGAAAATTGCAAGCATGTGATCCCATCGGTTACACCTAAAATAAAAAACATATTTATCTAAGAAAGATACATTTCAATAAACTGGGCAACCATCAAAATAGATGATTATGTCCCTAGATTACGTTGTTACCGATGTTGCTGAGTGGGTCACATGGCCAAAAGCTGTACAAAACAACAACATTGCAGCCATTGTGGCAATGATCATAAATACTCAGAGTGTGAAAGAAAAAATGAACCGCCATGTTGTATTAATTGCTATATAAACAATAAACATCTCCAAACAACAAAAAGCAGCCTACCAACCATGGGGCACTTTACCCAAATTGTCTATTAACAAAAAAAAAACAAAGAAAGCGAAAATTAAAAGAACAAATTATGAACTATAACTCCATACAGCAGAATACTCAGACAACACAAACAACGCAGGATCCTCAAGGAAATAATACAAAGATCATTAAATTACTCCAAATAAATGCACAAAGGAGCAAAGCAGCTAGCTCGCTTGTCATAAAAACTGCTAGTGATTTGGACGTAGACTTAATAACAATTCAAGAGCCATATACAATTAATGATAATATAGTGAGATTTAACAATTGGGGGATTTTGACAAACAATGCACATGGTAAACCGAAAAGTGGAATAATTGCTCGAAAAGAGGAAATTGACATTGCATTAATCCCTTATTTAAGTAATGAGAACATTACAACGGCGATAATACAACAAGACCAACCCATATTTATACTTAGCATCTATCTCTCACCATATGAAGAAGACAAGAAATGTGTTTATGAACTAGGAAACATACTAAAACAACTTAATGGGAAAAATATTATAATTGTAGGTGACGCAAATGCAAAGTCGGCGACGTGGTTTCACAAAAAAAAGGATGAAAGGGGTAGACTTATTAATAATTTAATGGACGACTGGGACATGGTTTCATCCAATATGTCTACGATTCCTACATTCTATACAGGATTTGCAAAAGGATGGACAGATATTTTTATTAATACAGGAAACATAACTGATATGATTGAAAACTGTGAGACTAACAAAAACATCAGCAAGCGACCACAGGTACATATTAACTGAAATCAAGTTAAATACCACCAAAAACAATAAAAACAAGTACTACAGAAAAATTATAAATTGGGATCTGTTCAAGGAGAATTTTGCCAAACAGTGGAGATCACATCACTTCTCTCCAATAAACAATAAGGGGGATCTAGAGAAGTACGTAGAATTCATTACAACAACAATCAATACGGCAAAAGAGGAGGCAAGTACAATAAAAACAGCCAATCACATTAAAACTAAATGGTGGACAAGTGAGTTGTCAAATAAAAAAAAAATAGAAATAAGAACACTAAGAAAAAAATTGTCAAAAAACACTAATGTAGTAGATAAAGAAAGACTTAAAAAAGAGTATAATAGAAAATTACAGAAATACAAAAAGAAATAAATAAACAGAGAACCATGACCTGGAGAAAATTTTATGAAAAAATGAGTAAAAAAGACCCATGGGCTAAGCCTTACCAAATAATATTTAAAAAATGCAAAAAGACTCACATTCCTGACATTATTAATAACAATGCAGATAAAATAAATATAAAGGAGAATATTAAACAGATTTTAGATTATCATTTCCCAGACGACAACGAAACGACTGAAACAGACATTCAGAAAGAAATCAGAAGACAATCCCTACAGCTCTCTTCTGGAAACAACGATAGGCTATTTACATTTAAAGAAGTTCAACAGGCTGTGAAATCCCTAGCAAACAATAAATCACCTGGTCTTGATGACATATCAGCGGAGATGGTCAAGGCCATATATGAAAAAATACCTATTTCTTTGGTGCATCTATACAATGAATGCTTACGATTAAAAGTCTTTCTCACGAAATGGAAAAAAAGCGAACATTAAATTAATACCTAAAACGAAAAACCCGAAGAAACCAAACGACTACCGCCCCATCAGCTTACTCCCAGTGATGGGCAAAATTCTTGACGGACTTAGAACTAAAAGAGTAAACTGGCACCTCTATAAAAACAAATTAATAAACGAAAATCAGTACGGATTTAAACAAGGTAAATCAACTATATA